ACTAAGGTAAGCGTATGTTATATAGTCATAGGCACTAGTTGGTAACTGAGCAGAGAGGTTCAACCAGAACAAAAACATGCATATATACATATGTTAATATGAATACAAATGATTATATGTTTACATATTTAATGCGAAAATTTGTGATTCTACATAGTTATGTGTTATGTATGTGTATATTAATTTAATGTGTTTTGCATGTATATATTTACATACAGATATTTAACATGTTAATATGTATACATTTTAACACGCTAAATATATATGTGTATATATATATATATATATATATATATATATATATATATATATATATATATATATATATATATATATATATATATATATGTGTGTGTGTGTGTGTGTGTGTATAAATATATGCATTATAATGTATACATGCATATGTTTAACTAAATAAAGATCTCCAAAAAAAATGCTAAGAATAATTTTGACATACCAATTTTTGTCTTGTTGGAGCAGATTATATATGCTTTCTTGAGTTTTTAAATCAAGTAAAATATTTAGTTTACTTTTCCTAAGTTTTATTTGATTATTTGGTGGTTGAATGACAAGGATCAAATATATTCTCAATTCAATCTTTATACAAAACAAATGCAACACTTTGACATCTTACTAGGGCAATTCTCCTTTAGGTGGACATGTCCTACTTTTTTTATCTATTTTCCTCTGTTCCAACAAGTTTGGTATCAATCAAGGAAAAATATCCTCTTGTTCCAACAAGTTTTGAATCATGACCAATCAAGACAAAACTGATATATCAAACTCATTCTTGTTGTATATTTTGCAAAGTTATGCCATTTTTATGAAAAGTATTTATTTTTTTGTCCTCTTCTTTGAGAAATTTTTTTGTTTGGTTTACTTTTACTAAAAAGTTTTTAGATTAATTAACAGCCCACTTTGTTTTGTAATTCTTTTTGAATTTTTTACACATTTTTATATATTGAATCATTTATCTTTGTTTAAAAATTTGTATTTCTATAATAGAAAATATTTTTATTTTTAGAAAATATTATGAATGGTGTGAGTATTAAAAATATAAAGCCTTTTGTGTAAAAATTCTTATTCTCTCATCCTAAAACTGTTTGCTCATTAGATTTTTTTTTTATTAAAATTTTTAAAAAGAAAATTGGTGTAATTTTTTAAATGTTAACAGTTTAACTTTTGATTTATAATAATGGAATTAAATAAATTACAACAATCTAATAAGCAATTCAAGCCAATATCTAGAATCCAGAAGAAGCTGAGTAGTCAGTAATGTGATATGAATATAGCTATATATAAAGATAAATATACATGTATAAAGAGAAAAATTCTCTACACATTCACTACACATTCACTTTAATATAGAAAAAAGTTTGGGTTTAGTTGAAAATTGTCAGTCAAAGAAAAAAATATATTTGTAGCAAAACTGGCATTGTTTAAAAAAAAAAGGTCTTACATCATACAATTAATTTATACATACTAATCGGTTTTCTTTATTTACTAATTTAATTATACTTATAATTATTATCAATTATAACTTACTTTATAATTGCGCATCAACACACTACATTTTGAATGTTCTATATAAATGATGCCAAATGTTGGGTAACATATATATAGAAAAAAGTAGCAATGAATATATCATTATGTATAAATAATAATTATAATATTATTACTGCTTTTTTGCTAAAGCTATCTGCGTGATGTACAACATCATTTATATTGCCAGTCAAACCTTCCTGCTTCTAATGGAGTAATTTAAATAAAATGATAAAATTAAAATAAAAGATTTATTCAAAACTAATACATATATAAATGTTACCTACATGTTAGTAACATTTATATAGAACACGGCAACAACAAATATAGTATTACTTATAAATTGTAATTTAAAAATAAAACTTAGTTTTCCGTATGAGCTATCTGCATGATGTACAACATCATTTATATTGCCAGTCAAACCTGCCTGCTGATAATGTAGTAATATAAAAAAAATGATAAAGTTAAAATAAAAAGATTTATGTACATATATAAATGTTTCCTCTATGTTGGTAAAATTTATATAGAACAAGGCAGTAACAAGTAAATTATTACTTATAAATGGTAAATTAAAAAAAGCTTACTTATTCGTATAATCTATAAGATGTAAAACATTATTTTTATTGCCAGTCAAACTTGCCTGCTTACAATACAGTAGTTTAAATAAAATGATAAAGTTAAGATAAAAAAGACTTATGCACTCACTATTAAATTCAAAAATTTATTATATTTTTACTTTACTATTTAAAACATAATAAATATGTTTATAATGATTATATCTTTTCTGATTAATTCGATCTATCTTTTCTGATTAGTTTTCTGATTAATTTTCTTTTCGAATATCTTTTCTGATTAATTTTCTGATTAATTCGAACTTTAACAGCTTTCAAACTATTATTTTTAAAAATATTAAATGAGTATAAAAACTGACAATGTTATAAATAATATAAATGATGAACAACATTTATATTGTCAGTCAAAACTGTCAGCTTATAATTTAGTAATTTAAATAAAATAATAAAATAAAAATAAAAGGATTTATATACAAAATATTACATTCGAATTTTTACATATTCTGATAATTCTGCTATTTAATAGTAAAGAAAAACATAATAAATATCCCCACTAGATTTGGTAACTGAATCCCTAGTAGAATGGTCTTGTTAACAAAAAGACAAAAACAACTTAACAGAGCAAAAATTGAAAAAAAAAAACATTTATCATAAAAGAAAGTGTTTTAACTTCAAACATTTTTATGCAAAATAAAGCCATTAGATTAAAATTAAAAAAGATAGTACTAGTTATCTTTTGTACATTAATCTTATCCAATAACTCTAAGTAATTAATCTTATCCAATAAATCTAAGTTTATCTAATACACTGCTTATCTAATGTACATTAAAACCAAAACATTAGGAGTAAACTAAATAAACATTAAAAATTAAACTGACTTACTTGACATACTTGCTATACTATTGCAAGTTATGCAAAGTAAGCAAAGTTATTGGCAATAGCTAGGATAAAAATAAATATACGCATTTTATAATGCATCATAATATGATAATATCCAGAGACGTAAAGACAGTAAAGACCAAGACTAGGACCAAGACAATACTCAATAACAAGACTAAGACCAAGACTCCAAGCTTCATTTTCAAGACAGTCAAGTATGAGTCTTGAGACATCTTGGGACCAAGATTTAAGTCTTGCAACCAACATTGCTGGAAAATGACATCTCGTAGTTTTTAAATCTCTGGAGAAAATTCTGACCCTATTGTCTATCTATCGTTATCTATCTATTATTAGCAAGGTCTTTGAGCCTTTGATCAACAAATTTCTAATACCCCATCTTGAGTCAAATAGTTAATATCATTGAGTCAAGTAATTGATATCTTTAGTTAAGTAATATCACATTATGATGAATTAGAAAATGCATCATAATGTAATATTATCAGATAATCATATTCTAGCTATTGCAAGTATGTCAAGTTAATTATGTGTGTATGTTTAGTTTGAATTATATTAAATGTGATGCATTATAAAAAAAAATTATAATCTTATTAAATACAGAAAAACAGAAAAATGAAAAAAATATTTACTCAAATTACAAATAATTGTATTTCTAAAAGTTATGACAGCATCTTTAAACACGCATTTGTAAAACCCATGGTGCAACATGAGCTATAAAAAAAAAAAACATGGTTCACCCATGGGATTTCAGTTTTCTTGATAATTGCCTGATGAAAATTCCATGGAATTTCAATTTCGATGGGAAAACCATGGTTTTTTCATAAAATTCCATGGGATTTCCATAGAGTTCTACTGAATACCAATGGAATTCCATGGAATGTTTCTGTAAGGGGAGTCCTAATAAGCTGCAGATGTTCTGAAATATAAAATTTAACAAAAATTTATTACAGAGTTAAATTAAGTTTTAACAGTCAAGAAAATTCTTCAGAAATTAAAAATGAAATTAAAAAGTTTAAATTAAATCTTAATAAAGAAAAGAAAATTTAAAAACTTGTTTTTTTAAGAAGCTTTTTAGTCAACTTTACAAGTTATTGAACATTATTAGTTAACTTAAAACACAGATTTTAAAGATTTTTATTTACCACTTACTAAAAATGACTATATAAATAATAAGTATAGAAATGGTTAGTGTGGAATAGACTTACCTTGACTTGTATATTACAGGTCATGGTAAGTCCATTCTACATATTTTTAAGTATGTATTTAATTTCCGAATGTTTTTTAAACTTTTTATGCCAATTGTAATTAACCAACACATTTCAAGCCATTATTCTAAATATTATTTAGAATGGTACTTATATCTGAACCACTAATAAATAGTGGTTCACACAACGGTGACTGAGGCATTTAAAATTTTTTAAAGTTAATTAATTTTTTTTTTTTTAAAAGGTAGACATATGTATAGTTTTTCTTTAAAAGGTATGTATAGTTTTTCTATATATATATATATATATATATATATATATATATATATATATATATATATATATATATATATATATATATATATATATATATATATATATATATATATATATATAATTAATTTTCTAACACTAATAGAATTTCCATATTTTCTAAAAATATCATCTCTAATTTAAAAAACCTTTTTAAGCACTCATGTTGAACTAGTATCTGCTTAGTATTTCAGAACAAATATGTTCAGTAAATTAAAAAAATAAACTTTTTTTACCATGAAAGATCTAAAGATCTCATATGCAGATAAAATTTTTCTAGGCCAAACCTGCTTGACTGTGTATGTACACTCTTAAACCTGCTTGACTGTGTATGTACACTCTTTTTATATTTAACTCTTGTTTAGCATGATCTCATAATTTGCAATTTGTGACACTTTATATCTATTGTAATTGTATTTATTTTTTACTAAATTTTGTTCAATCTTTTATTTATATATTTATATTATTTTAGGAAGTTATAACTTGTTTAAAAGAAGTTAATTGTTCATATCTTCATTACATTTTTATTGAAGAAGCTATTGCAATTGTTATAGAAATGAAATCAGAAGAAAGAAAGTCCATCGGTGCATTGATTCATGATATGATAATTAAAAATGTAATAACTATTGATCAATTATGTAAAGGGTAAGTTGATTTTTTTAAATATACATGTATATGTGTGTGTATTTATGTATGTACAAAGCTTTGCTGGGTAAAAGTTATTCTAAAATGATCTGAGCAGGTTTGACCTGATACAACCTGTACTGGCTTGAACCATTTGCACTACATTTTGATGTTATTTCAAAAGGTTTTATACGGCTGTCATGGGTCCTGATAATGACAATTTAACCTAAGAACTAACCTAACCTAAGAACTAACCTAACCTAAGAACTAACCTAACCTAAGAACTAACCTAACCTAAGAACTAACCTAACCTAAGAACTAACCTAACCTAAGAACTAACCTAACCTAAGAACTAACCTAACCTAAGAACTAACCTAACCTAAGAACACCTTTTTTAATGGAAAAATAGAATACAGATCAAAGTACCCTGTGTTGCAAATTTTGGAATCTTAACTTTTGTCAGCGGAAAAAAATTTAATTTAAATGTTCAAGTTGAGTGAATTTTAGACTTCATTGTGTCCCAACAAAAACACCTGCATAATAAGAACCACTTTCTACAATTTCAGTCTGATTGGAAAAAAATTTAAATTAAATGTTCAAGTTGAGTGATTTTTAGACTTCATAGTGTCCCAACAAAAACACCTGCATAATAAGAACCACTTTCTACAATTTCAGTCTGATTGGTTAATTGGATATATATTTATGGCAGTTATAGTTTAAATTTTATTTAGTTGTATGTAAAATGTAAAAAATGCTAAAAAAAATTTGCAAAATCTAACTAAAATTTTCAAAACCTAATCAAAGAAAACCAAACAAACAAAAAATACATCTTTGTTAACAAATTTTTATTTACTCTAGAAACCTTAAGTTTTAAAATTTTATTTTAAAAAGTGAAAAAATAACTATTTCAACCCTATTTTTACATTGTATTACCATCAAATAGCATCTGATTATATTTTAAGACATGCTCTTTGATTTTCCCCACAAAAGTTTTATTAAAAAACATCTCGCTACATTCTGTTAGTGCAAATACTCTACAGTACTATTTTAAATTTCAGATGCCTAATCTCTAACAACTTAAATTATGCTAGCAGTTTTTCAAAGATGCTTACTGTTCAAATCAATTATGCAGCACAACTTTTTTTTGTATACTGGATAGTTATTGTTTTGCTTACACCTGATGATAGTTATTGTTTTGCTTACACCTGATGATAGTTATTGTTTTGCTTACACCTGTTGACCAATGTTGATAAAAATCTTGATGAGCAGTTTTGGCAGTTTGTTTGGGTGGATAAGACCTAATGTGGATTTTTTCTTTCGGGTTAAACCATTGATGTAGTAGAAGACATTTAAATTTTGGGTATTATGCTTGCACCAGCTTCATTAATTAACTATTTAAAATTTTCAATGTTTCAGCAAAATCCAGCTGAATTTGCAACAAACAGTAATAATATGAAAATCAGGAGATAAATAATATATTAATAAATATTGCAATAAGACTAACTAAATATTGTAATAAAAGCAGATAATTTTAAGCCAAATGAGTGGTTAAAAAATTAGCTGTGGGTAATATAACAATATAAGTCGTGATGTAAAAACGATGTACAAAGCGAGAAAAAAAAATTATTAAAAAGTGAAGTTTTCTCTATGGTCCGAACTAAAAGAAACTTTGAGACCATATCTAAATCAAAATTTCCAAAAAGTAATGTTTCCTCTACAATCCGAAATAAAATTAACTTTGAGACCATATCTAAATCGAAATTTCCGAAAAGTAAAGTTTTCTCTACGGTCCGAATTAAATGTAATTTTGAGACCATAACAAAATAACAAGGAAAAGCTGAAATCCAAAGCAAGCCTAAACAACTAAATTGAAACTTTTGAATGCTTCAATTATGTGAATGATGTTGGTAACCATGTTTGTATCAGCATGTTGCTGCAGCACATCTGCAATTTTAAGAAGTAATCATTTCCCTTGAACTGACCTCCATGATATAGGCTCAGTTAAATGTGGAGGACAGCTGGCCACTTAATAATTTTAATTCCGTTGATGATTGCTTTTTGAATGACATTGCCAAACAGCTTTATATTAACAATAACCTCGCCATATTGCTGAAAAGACTCAAGACTAGATTTGATTGATCCCAGTGTCTGTAAGTTTCCAGATTTTAAAAGACCTTTGGATTTAATATCAAACTGTGGCAGAGGTGCATACTTAAATCGGTTTAAAAGTCCACAATTTAATATGTTCAACTTGTATATCATAAGCTTAAATTAAACTCCATTTGCATTAATCAGTAACCAGATTTATTCAATATTAGTGTGAGTTTCTGGCAAATCTTTTGATGACACAACAAGATTTTTTCTTTTTGTAAATGCAATGCATTTTAGTGAAGCTGCATTGAGCAGTGAATGCCTTAGAGATGCATAATAAGTTAAAAAGAGTATAGCAGAGTGAGGTAAAAGTACAAATGGACAGATGTTCTGTAGAAAACAAAGACCCTCTAAGAAGAATAAAATATAGCAAAAATATTTGCTCAAAAATATAATCTTTTTCGTACTAAAAAGTAGAAAATAAACTTTTAAATTTAATAGTTCCGTAAACTAACGATTGACAGGTCTGCGCAATGTTTATTTAGAAACATAACTGTCAATCTTTAGTTTACTAAACTATTAAATTTAAATTAAAAATTTTTTTTCTTCTACTTTTTAGTACGAAAAAGATTATATTTTTGAGCAAATGCTATATTCTATTCTACTTTTTAGTCTTTACAAAAAGTTTCCATATATTAATACTAAACAAAAATATTTTTTTTTAAAAAAAGTTTTTTTGAAAGAATTAAAAAAAAATACAAACCCACAAGCAATCTTAGCCAATTTTAAAAATGAAAAGGTTTATTTATAAAAGAATATATATATATTATTGAAAAAAAAGAATAACAAACCCAAAAAAATAACAAGCAATATTAGCCGATTTTAAATATAAAAACATTTATTAATGAATGAAGATTGCTTTTTAATAAAAAACGAACCCGCAAGCAATTTAGAAGCTAATTTCTATATAATGGGTTAGTTTTTATATGCCCCTTGGACGATATAGAAAGTTCATGTTAAGTGAAAGAAAAGATTATAAAAATTCTAAATTGATATAAAAAAAAATGTAGTAATTATAAGCAGAGTCATTAATTGTTGTGTTACTAAACTGTTGTTAGTGTTGAGCGCAAATGCAATGTATAAACAGTATCAGTGACTGAGCTAAATTATTCGCTTTATAAGTAGTTACCATGTAGTCTGTATTATTAGGGTGATAAATATATATTATATATATATATATATATATATATATATATATATATATATATATATATATATAATGTAATTCATGGGTGTCTCAAGTATGTTATAGATTCGTGCCTTATGAAACAGTATAACTTATGAAACACAGGAAGACCTCCAGTTTAAGTAGTTCCGCTCTGAGTGTACATCAGTTATTTTTTTGTTAAGGGTATCCCATTGTGTTATCCAAAAGGATTATTTTCAGAGTATCCCATTAGGACAATTGCCACAGACTTCTGCATTGACCCTGAGACCGGAGGACACTTATCGGGGCTCAGTACAACTTGCATACAATTGTAAGTAACTTTTTGACATCAGTATCAGTATTTTGACATCAACTTTGTGTCAGTAAGTGCAGTAGTTTTTTGCAGTAAAACGAGGGTCAGTAGGAGTTGTGAACTGTTTTACGTTCTTATAGATATGTATGTAGTGTAAATTTTTGATCATATTGACCAAGCCCTCTCTCTTTATCCACTAGCCAATATTGCTGTTGTTGGTGACTTTAATGCTCATCACACTGAATGGCTTGGCTAGTGTCAGTGTGTCACTCTGCAGGCATTAAAGCCCACAACCTTTGCCTTTCTCAACCTCTAACTCAAATAGTCAACTTTCCAACTAGCTTTCCAGACAACCCGAATCATTTATCTTCTCTACTCGACTTATGCCTTGTTTCTGATCCTAGTTGGTGCTCAGTTCCTCCACATTCACCCTTTGGTGCTTCTGATCACAGTTTGATTTCTCTAAAACTATTATTAGTTGACTGGAACTCTTTACAGAATTTTCTTTGTGATGGCCCTTGGGTAGAAAACTTTCGTCTTCCTGTTGATAAATGTGCTTCTTACATGACTTTGTAGATTCAGGTTTTGTAGATTCATAGTCTTGCAGAAGTGTTCTCCGGAGCTGTCGTTTATACTTTTAAAACTATTCAACAAGTGCTTATCAAAGTCTTGTTTTCCAGCCTGCTGGAAAGTGGCATCTGTTATCACTATTATCAAAAATTTTGGAGAGCGATCCTATTTGTCTAACTACCGTCCCATTATTCATCTTCCTATCATAAGCAAGTTTTTTGAATCTTTGATTAACAAACAATCTTTCATCATGAATCTAATAATTTTCTGATCATCAATATAGATTTCGATCTTCTTGTTCTACAGCTGGTTTGCTAACAGTAATAACCGATAGGTTTTATCTTGCATCAGATAAAGGTGGAGAGGTTAAGACCATTGCTCTTTCTAATGCTTTTGATAAAGTTTGGGATGCTGTTCTTGTCCATAAGCTTTCATCTTACAGTGTATCTAGTAACATATTTAAGATTATTGAATCCATTTTTTTCTAATCATAGTATAAAGGATGTCCTCGATGGTAAGCACTCTTCTTATTCTGTAACTTCAGGGGTTCCTCAAGGTTCAATCCTTGTCCCTATATTCTTTTTAATTTATATTAACAATTTTCCAGATATTCTCACATCTAAGGTGGCATTGTTTGCTGATGATACTACCATTTAATCTTGTCATGATAAGAAGCCAACATTCTCTGATAGCTTGGAGGGGACATTTGAGCTTGAAAAGGATCTCACTTCTGCTACAGCAAACTATAATTTAGAAAAAACTCAAATTTTTTGAGCCAATCATTATCACAATAACTTAGATCTTCCTATATTTATAGGAAGATCTAAATTATTATGATGTGACACAGATATGGCATCATTAGAAGATCTGCCATATCTGTGGCAGATCTTCTAATGATGCCCTTTTTCTTATGGAGAAGGTACATTGTAAACATAATTGGACTTGCTCTTGCAGCCAACCTCCAACCATTATCACATCGTCCTATTGTTGCTTCTCTTTTTCTTTTCTACAAATATTATAATGGGTACTGCTCTAAAGAACTAGTGTTTCTTGTGCCATCTACTAAAATTCATTCTCATGTTACTTGTCATTCAATTAATTCTCATCCTTTTTCAATGACTATTTGTAAGTGCTCCAAAAATTCTTTGGAGCACTTAGAAATATTTGTCTAGTTTTTTTCCTGGAACATCAGTTCTTAAGAATTCGCTTCCTTCATCTTGCTTTCCTGATTCATATATTTTGCAATCTTTTAAGTTGCCTGTCAATTGTTATCTTGCTCTACAATCTTCAACTTTTTTCTTCCCTTTTCTCTTCTCACCTTTTCTTTTCCAACTCTACTTAGTGGTTGCTTGCAGCCTTGTTGGAAGCAAAAATGTTAAAAGTCAATGTAGTCTATGTGTGTCTGCATACTGTAGTAGCATGTCTTATTAGTATGAGTTATTAGTACAAAATTGAATGAAAGTCATTTAAACTGGTATAACGTAAGCTAGATATAAATACTAGTAGTTTTATAACATGTATCTTAAGAATAACAAACTATTACAACTAAATAATCTAATATATTAAAAAAGAATTATTTAGTGTGCTAAGGTAAATAGGTAGCGTGCTTGTCTCAGAAACAAAGCATCTGTGGTTCAAACCCCACCTCTGGGCAAGTTTTTCAACATCGGTTAGGAAGGAGGCATGAACTTCCAATTAAATGCTCATCCATGGTGCTCTGTGATAAGACTGTAAGGACTTCTTGGGGCACCTAAATAAAATTAAAAAAAAATACATCAACATATAAGCAATTTATAGCAACAATAACTTGTATATATATTTTATAACTAATAATATAAAATCATATGGAATTTTGTAACCTAACAGGTAAATGTATGTGGTACTGAAATTTGTTTTGTATTTTGTATAAATGACAAGATTAACTGTGCATATGTCATGAGGCTGTAATGTTACAAAGGGTATCTGAAGTGGAATAAATTACTTGTTTTGTAAAACAGTTAGCAGCTAGCCTCTAGTCAATTAAAATTAACAAACTCTATGTAAAGCATGGCTAATTTTGAGTGATAAATTCATAGAATTTGATATCTTTGCCAGTCTTATAAGTGAGAGGGTGTTAGGAGTCAGTTAGCTGGTTTTATCTCTTAATGCAGTATTGACAATATATAGACAAAACTTGTTAAAATCTTTGCCACAGTCAATTCCTAGCTTAACAAATAGCTCCCAGAAATTGAATAACATTTTATTTTTTATTTTTTTTCACTTCCAACAAGGATCACACTTCTGCTGTAGCAGAAGTGGGATCCTTTTTAAGCTCAAATACCCCCTCCAAGCAATCAGAGAGTGTTGGCTTCTTATCAAGGCAAGAATAAATGGTAGTATTATCAGCGAACTATGCCACCTTAGATGTGAGAATTTTCAGGAGATTGTTAATGCATATTTAAAAGAGTATAGGGCCAAAGATAGAACCTTGAGGAACCCCTGAAATTACAGGATATGAAGAAAAGTGCTGTTTATCAAGGATAACTTTTATACTATGATTGGTAAGGAAGAATTCAAGTCATATCAGGTAGAACGTGACTAGTGGTATCAAGAGATGATATTGACGAGAAGATCTCAGCAAATAATTCAGCTTTGTCTTCTGATGCTAAAGGAAGTTAAATGGTTCCTTACTTAATGATGATTTAGATAAGTTCTTTTTTGAAGACTAGAGTCTTACAAAAAAACTAAAGTTTAAAAATGTCTCCCTGGCTGTTTTTTTGTGATTGGTAGCGTAAAAACCCTAAATTTCAAATTTCACCCCAATATGTTAACCCTAACCCTTGTCCCAAGTCCCCCAAAAAAGTGTTCTTTTGGTTTTTTCGTAGAGATTATAGGTTAAAAATAAGATTTTAAATTACTTTTAATCTATAACTTTTTGTAAGTAAACGAGTAAAATCAGTTTTAACTTTTGTTTTACATATATGTTCTGGAAAAAAAAATCATAGCCATGATAACAAGTTTAATATGGGGATTAAATATTATTATCATAAATATTACTAATTTTACATGTTTATTGGTATTTCATTACAGCCCATAGAATCTCGAAGGAGGTACATATTTGCAGCATATATCACTGGTGACACCCATCTTGCATTATGAAAGGCCCCAGGCTTGCGTTAATGTACACCTCTATCTGGTATTTTGCAAAGTAAAATTAACATAAGTTCTGTGCATTCCTTGTAATCATCTCTTAGTTCGAAATTCTCATTCTTGAGCTGCTCTTTGAAAATAGAAATTGCAGAATTTTGCTGTAGCTTCATATTTCTGGCTTTAACATCTAAGCATTTGAAGTTGTCCTTGCCCAAGATAGTGTCCCATTTTTCCTGGAACTCCTTATTATTCATTATTTGGGCTGTGATTACATCCAAAAATTTGAAATTTAGGGTTTATAAGCTACTCATCACCAGAAAACAGCCAGGGAGATTAGCATTTTTGAACTTTAATTTTTTCGGAACACCCTATTGATGACACAGTCCAAAAAATGATGTTTAATGCTCTTCAAAGAACCATTTTCCTCTTTATAACATCTTTCTCTTTTGATAGAGATTTTCTCTTTTTGTGCTTCTGCAATTATTTTTATCAAATTTTTTATCAAATTTTTTATTTTAGTTTTATTTAAAAAGCAATCCTAATCTGTAACAATTGATTTAAAAAATTCCTAAAAAATTATTTCCTTCCAAACCTTTTATTTCCTTCCAAACCTTTTATTTCCTTCCAAACCTTTTAGCGATCAGTTATCTTTGTAATTTTATCTCAACTAATTTAATCAAGTCAATTTAGGATTAGTCAATACAAAAAAAATTTAGCAAAACTAAAATGTTATCTAAACTAATTAGGTTTTAATAGTTTTTTTTTATTGTTTTGTTTTTACTTTTTTCTTGTCTAGCTGTGGTCAGTTTTATTTATTTTCCTTACACTTTGCTTTAGTTTCACTTTATTTTTGTTCTAACTTGTTTCTTACTCTGAGTTTCTTATATTTCTATTCAATCAATTGTTTATTATAACAGTTTTATCGTGCTTCTTCTTATTTTTATTTATTACAATTTATTTATATTTCTTATTCTCTGTGAATTAAGTTTAAAAATTTTTTAAATCATACTGAAATTTACAAGTGATCTAAAAAATTTAAAAATTTAAAAACAGCAAGTGAGTAAAAACTTAAGAAAAAGTGAGGAAGTGACTAATTATAAGAGAAGACTTTTTTTACAAAAAAAAGTTGATTAATAGAGTTCAATACCTTTAATTTTGTTTTAATGTCATACAGATTGGTTTTAACTAACAAATCTTTTCGAATGTTTATAAAGTACAGTTTATTCATGTTATTAAATATTCTTGTATCTATTTTTTCCATTTTGGATAGAGTCATATTTTATGTTAAGAATATAAATATAATATAAATATAAATATTATTATAGGTTAAAATTTGATAAACTTATTATTTAACTTAATAGCCTAAAGTAATTTAAAAGTTTATTTAACTAATTTAAAATAAAAATTTGCTTAGTCTTTATAAAAGGTTTACTACTCACAAAACTAATAAATTTAACATAATTGTCTGTTAAGTATAATTATTTAACATAATTGCTTATTATAAAATAATTTAAAAGTTTATTTAATTAATTTTATAATGTCTTTATAAAAAAAATTTAATTTATTAATTTTGTGAGTAGTATTTTTGCTATCGGTAAATATATGACATGACATTTTATATTGGTTACATTTACTTGTATACTTTTTTGTAATAACTTTTTACAGTAATTTAAGAGGTTTTATGAATTTTTTATACATTTTGTTGAAATCTTATTGTATAAAGTAGTTTTATGTTGCTAAGCATTAATGAGTGGTTTAGGCATTCATAAATGTTTGTTGAGAATCATAGTATATTTTGACATAAATTATGTGTATGGTTAATACATAGTTAATATAATGACCAACTATTTATTGGTAAGAATTAGTTAATTGGTTAATTTGTTTCACTTTTTTTTTTAATTTATTTGTTGACTTTAATGACTTAAAAAACTATTATTTAGGTGATTTTAATTGTTTTGAGTTTAATATTCGACATCCTTTTAGACATCTCATTTCATTCTTTTTTGGTTTGGCTACATGTTGGCTTTATTTACTTGATTAGGGCGTTGGTTGATAGTTTTTTTTTTGTCTATACAAATTATTTCACGATTATGTAACATCCTAGTCTGTTTTGTGCTACACCGATTAATTTCTAGTAATCCTATGATTCTTTTTTTGTACATTATAGATCGCAAAATTTGCATTCATTGACAGTTAGTCATTTCTTTGTTGTGACGTCTTTCTGTTTTAGCAAATAATTTTTTAGTAAGATTTGTTGTGAACTGACTAAGCCAGTTTTCAGTTATTTTAATTGACAAGTTTTTTTCTGAGTAAGTTTGAAATTCTGCAAATTTTTCATATTTTGTATTTGAGTACATTTATTTCAGATAATTTTGTTATTTTTTGTATGTATTTTTTTTTATAGGCAGTTAGTTTGATTGTGGCATAGTATATATAGCAATATATACATATATTGCTGTCTATTTTTATTGAAATTGTTAATATTTGAGTGATTTGTTTCGAATAAGCTTAGTTTTTATTTGTTTTTTGCTGAGTTAAGCTTTGTATAGAGTTTGCAATCTATTTGTAAGGTGTTTGATTTTCTGTTTTTAATAATATTAATTTTAAATGATTAAATTAATTTTAAATTAAACCTGAAGGCTTGCATCTGTTGTGCAAAATGCTCCAGAATATACGATTGATGTACCATATTTTTATAAATATCTTGGGGAAGTGATAGGTCCTATGGTTTATGACGGTGTGCTTCCTCTTAACAGAGTTGTATACACTTTAGAACCTTTAGTCAAGCAAAACAAAGCAGGTGATGTTATGGCTGAGACTTTATCAGTTGCTGTTCAAATTGCTGGTGTAAGCTGAATTTTTTATATTATGAATATTTAATATAGTGCATCCAATATGCATCCATCCAATACAGGTTTCTATACTTAAGTATTGCTACTGCCATGCATTTTTTTAGTATTTAAATACTGGTTGTTAATTCTAAATATTTTAATAACAAGGATAAAGTATGCTCGATTGTAGAAATATTCAAACTTAAAATTATATGCAATCCTGTTCAAATATATATTCAATCTTTTTCAAATATATGCAATCTTTTTTAAATACATTCAATCTTTTTCAAATATATTCAACTTTTTTTTAATATATTCAATCTTTTTCAAATATATTCAATATTTCTGGGAAAAAGCTATTTACACGCGTAAATAAAAAGATAATAGCTAAAGCTAAAATGCAAACATAAACAATGGGAAACGAGTTTGGTGAAAAAGATATGGGTGCAGATATATATTAAAATTTATTATTTTTTCTCGATGAAATTGAAGCTTTTATTGGGAAAACTTCCACTAAAGACTGAATGACCAGGAAATAGATAAAATTATATGTGAATACATTTCTCACCACGGTCCAGCAACTGGGGAACCATTATTATCTGGTTATTTTAGATAACAGGGTACAATATACAAAGAAGAAGAATTCAATCTAGTTTAAACAGAGTAGATCATAGGAATACAGCATTGCGATGGTGAGCATTGGTTTTAAGGCAATCATATTATGTAGCATGGCCAAATTCTTTATGGCATATAGATGGACACCACTCTCTAATTCATTTGAAAATTGTAATACATGGATGCATTGATGGTAAATCAAGGAAAGTAATATTTTTGAAAGCCAATACAAATAATTTGACTGAAATAGTGTTAAATCTTTTTTTAAATGTGATAAGCAAGTTTTCAACGCCTTCAAAAACTTGAGTAGACTTTGGCGTAGAAAATGTTCTTGTGTGTGATGAAATGGTTGCAAGAAAAGGTCATGGCAGAGGGAGTTTCTTAGCTGGATCTTCTACAAGAAATCAAAGAATAGAAAGATTATGGAGAGATGTGTTTTGGTGCATCGTATTACTTTTTATTACACTTTTTATGCTATGGAGCAGAGCAGTATTTTAGATATTAAAAATCCAATTCACATGTTCACACTGCATCTAGTTTATTTAAATGGAATAAATTGTTTCCTATAATATATATATGTATGTATATGTATATATATATATATATATATATATATATATATATATATATATATATATATATATATATATATATATATAATATATATATATATATATATATATATATATATATATATATATATATATATATATATATATATATATATATATATATATATATATATATATATATATACAGTATTGGACAAAACATTTGCAACCAACATCGAACAATGCTAAAAAGTGTTCCTAATTTTACATGTCTTAAAAACAAAACGAACTATATTACCACAGCAAACAGTTCAGGAGTCTGAAGTCATAGGTTGCCATGACATAAGCAATCAGGTGACAGCACACAGGCAGAATTTCGTTGACAAGTGCCATTTTACTGCGGACAAAACAAGTGCAACTTTTTTGGTTTGTTTCATTTTCTTAAGTCTGGTCCGTGTCAACATCACTGAAGTTTTTTATTAATTAAAGGAAGTATCCAGAAGTTTCCAGAAGTTTCCAGAAGTTTCCAGAAGCATGCAGAAGTAATGCAGAATGTAACACGGTAAGCCTTGAGAAGCGTGATTATTTATTTTTATTATTTTTATGACTTCAAGTACAAAAATGGCTCCGCACAGTCTTGGATTGGAACTAAGAAAGAAAATTATTGGCGATTACGTAAGTGGAATGTCACAAAAAAGTATTTGTGATAAATATCACATGAAAAAATGGACCGTATCAAGACTATGTTCCAAATATCGTTCTATGGGGAAGTTAACAGCAGATAACAAAGGTGTAAGACCGCAGTCCACCACTTCTAGAGAGGACTTTGCCGAGTGGCTTCAAAAACTAACTTGATTGATTATTATAGATTCAAAATAAATTTATTATTTTGCTTAACTAGAAAGTGCATATATAAAAGTTTACACTTTCTATTAAAAAAGTGTTGTTTACAAGAAAATCATAAAAGATCATAAGTTATAAATAAATTAGAATAATTCACAAAAAAATTATTCCACAAATTTTCATAAAAGATAAACCTGCATACCTTATATTATGAATATAAATACCTTACAGTGTGAATATAAATCAAATCAAATAAAATAAGCCAAAATTATTTAATTAAATTTGAGGTTTTTTACTTTTTCATCAACTTCAATAGTATAAATAAATTCGGTAGACGGATGCAATGCAAACCCAAGTATTGAGGTTCTTCCGAAGCACCAATAACAAAAGAAAAAATATTTACCAATGAAACACACTCTCTTCTACCACTAGCAACCTAAGTATTATATTATCTGTAACATCTAAAACATTAAAACTGTTCATTAAAAAAAATTTACCTCTAACATATTTCACAAAATTAGAATAAATTTATTTTTCTTTAACTAAAGCTGTTGAACCTTGAAATGAAAATTTTGTCTTCAATAATTTCAAAAGTATTTTTGAAGTGAATTGTACTTTTGATGAATAAATCAAGTTACTGTGGAAATTCTTTGAAAAATCTTGTCAATTTAAATTTAATCCTTTTTGTATGTTAGATACAAAAACATTTGTTGTATTTTCAGGGATCTTATAAATAATGCTTTCTGGTAAATATGTTGGTAGCTGTCCTCCTTGAAATAGTGATATACCAATCAACAAACCTACAAAGTAATACTCCTCAACAAAAAGTTCTCACAAACCACTATCAAATAATTTCTTGTTTATCATTTTATTACATTCTTGTAGCCACTCCTTCCTTGGACCACCATAATCCTTAGCAAATTCTCCCATAAAATCAACTTCAAATGTAATTTAAAAAATTCTCGATGGATTCTTGTTCTGCAAATGTTGAAATTAAAATATTTTGTTGATCAATACAAATAAAGTTTGTCTCAGAAACTTCATACATGTTTTCAGAAGTGTTGTCTATGCTTTCAATATCTAGAACTCTTTTTTGAAGAAATCTTAAAATTTCTATTGAATTCTGAAAATGATTTTCTTTTATTTCCTCAATTTTTTTGCTTTCAAGAGCAATTTCAATAAGTTCTTTACCAACTAATTGTGAACTGTTTGCTACAAATGAAGCTGATGAAAGTTCTTTAATTTCCTGTGTATCATATTTTTCAAAGAAATTTCATTAATTCTTTCTTGATCAGCTAACTGCGGTCTGTTTGCTTGTAATGAAGACGAGGGAAATTCAATAATATCCTCTATTTTATTGTTTTCAAAACCAATTTCATTAACTTTTTCTTAAAAAAATAAATGAAATTGGCTAATTGCGAACTGTTTGCTATTAATAATGGTAATGGAAGCTCAACACTATCATCATTGTAACCTTCTTTTAGTTGCAAAATCCCATTTCAGGAATTGTTCTTCATCTTTTTCTTTAGATGAAATTAACGCAAATTCTAAAGTTTTTGTCATTTTTTTTTTGTTTTATTTTGATTGCCTATTTTACTATTATCTATTTGGCTGCTGTTTGATACTGATGGCCTTAATCTATCTGCTGTATGGTGCTGATGATCTTAATCTATCTTCTGTATGGTGCTGATGACCTTAATCTATCATTTCGATTAAGGCGCCTAAATAAACCCGATAATTTTCATTGAGTTTTTCTATGGCTTTTTGTAACATGGAGGTTATTGTGAGTTCTGACTGTGGCCTGCTTGCATTTGTGTTTTGAGTTGTAAGAAGAAGTATAGAAGCCTCCTCTAATAAAGAAGCAACTTTGCTATAGCTATCCATGTCGTATATATAAAAATAGAAACTACGGCTACATACACATTTTTTATACAATTATTTGACAAAATGTTTCGTTCAAATTACCGCCGTTCAAATTACCGCCGAATAATGATTATATTTGAAAAAGATTAAATATATTTGAAAAAGATTAAATATATTTGAAAAAGATTGAATATATTTGAAAAAGATTGAATATATTTAAAAAAGATTGAATATATATTTGAAAAAGATTGCATATATTTTTAAATTTAAATATTGCTACAATCGGGCAGGCATAAAGTTGAACTAGAGTATCTGAAATATGTATCATTATCCTATTCTAATCAAGATTTTTTTATAATAACATATGAAATTTAATAATTTTAGATTTTAAAAAAGTATACAAGAGTTCTAAGTTAAGGCAAATACTTAATTAAAAAATTGTTTTTTTTACCTTAGTTTTTAATTTTTAAAATTTTAAGGTTTTTAAAAATATTCATTATTAAAGGTTTTTAAAAAAGTTCTTTATTATCATAAAAATGGAGATTTCTGCCAAAGTTCAATCCAACCAGCTAGTTGCAAAAAAATGTGGTTTACCATCATCAAAAATAATTGCATTATCAAGTTTATTAGGACTAAATTGTTGTTTAGAATTTGAAACAGTCCACCATTTTTGAAAAATACTTAAAAAAACAGAAATGTCATTTCTTTCTGGAAAATAACTTTTAAAACTTGCAACTGTTGTTTCAACGAAAATCGACAGTGCAAGAGAAACATTTTGCTTTTTATTACCAGGGTGAAGATTTTGATATGTTATTTTTGGAGCTTTCTTCAGATTACCTTGAAGTTGTTCATCTTTAGAATGTAGAAGATGAAAATCTCCCCAAGTAACATAACCAGCTAGACAATTATAGACATCATATTTTATATTATAAATAAGTGATAGAAAGGCAAATTTTTTACAGTATAATAAATTATTTCTGATATTTTTAGCAATATGAACACAATCATAAAAGTTTTTAATTTTTAAAATTTTAAGGTTTTTTAAAATATTCTTTATTAACCAACATTTAATGGAGAAACCATTTTTGTAGAAATATTTTTATTATAGCTTTGCCAAGATTTATAATTAAAATAAATTTTTCTACGATTACAATTTAGCAGTCTAAATTCCTACTGCACACTTAACATTAGAAAGTGTATACCGGTGCTTACTAGCACCTATATTTTATTTGTTCTTTATTAATAATTTCTAAAACTCGTGTTTTTATGTGTTTAACCAAAAATTGTTTCTCTTTTACGGAAGTTTTCATGTTGATGCTTATGCAGCTATTAAATGTGAATTTTCGATTTCAGTTTCGATTTTAATTTTCGTTCTTTTAACATTGCAATTTTTAAACTTCACAAAATTTTTGACTCTTTAAGGCTATATCCTAAAAAATAATTAATTTTTTTTTGCTCTGTTCGTAATTTTAGTAGAAACTTTTAGTAGACATTTCTTTTATTGGGTTCAGATGAATTTGAATTTCAGAATATAGCCTTAAAGAAGTTTATTTAAACTTACTTAATTATGAGGAGAAGCGAATATTGGGTACTTTTTTATAAGTAATTAAAGATTTGATTTTAAAATAACACATCTTAATTACGTAAAAATCGACAGCGACATCACAGGTCACTGATCTGTAAAATCTACCTAAAATTGGCAGTGCGAATGCATTTAATTTTTTGCAATACTTTCTTCGCTGCTCAATTGTTTTTTTTTTTTGGTTGAGGTGACCTCAACCAAAAAAATTTTTTTTTGGTTGAGGTCACCATCTTAAAAAACATTTTTTTTTTCTATAACAGTCTGTAGTAAGTTTTAAACTTAGTAAGTATTGGTTATTATTTTATCGGTATTATATACCTTGTTATATATATTTTATTATGTGTCTTATGCTATTTTTTTGCAAAGTACCTGTATTGGATGAACCAATGTATTTTTTATTGTAGTAATATTATATATTTATTTTTCAGAAAGAAGAATCAGTTAGTGAACTGTGGTCTAAGTCAAATATCAAATGGGAGATGTTATTAAATAATGATGAAAATGTAGATAAATTTATAAAAGACAAAGTAAGTAGATAATTATTTAAAAAGTTGACTAGTATGTTAAATTACGGGATAAACGATCGAATTCTTTAAGAAATTGAAATGTAAATATTTTATTCAATAATTAAATATAATTTAGTCTAACCAAAATTACTTTGTTTTAGACTTTACCAGATTTGTTTTTTGTTTTAGACTTAACCAGGTTACTTTGTTTTAGACTTAACCAGATCTAATAGGAAATAAAAATCTAATACGTTTTTTAAATGGTTAACCGCATTTTATCAAAATTTAGCGGATCTTATTTCAGTAACACCCAACTATGGGGTCATTTTTTTATATTAATCTATTTTATGTTTAGAAAATGGAGTTTTTAATGAATTCAACTTCAAGTAATAAAAGTCATTCAAATAATGTTCTGAAAGGTCTGTTACGTATACTTCAAGAAAAAGGCGACAATAATAAAATAACATCCTATATTGATGTAAGTTCTAGTTTTAAGTTCATGTATGTATTTTATTTTTATAAATTGTTTATTCATTTTTATGTTAACTTTTTTGGGAGAATTTGTGACCAAATAACTTGTTCACTCTAAATTTGTTGCTCGTATTTTCTTAACATGTTTGCAGCAGTTTTTAGTTGTTATGAAATTGCTATTTAAATATGTTTATAGAGTGAATGTAGCAATTGTAAATCTGACCCATATTTTATAAAAGATCTAACGTCAATGATTTGCAAAAGCACTCTTGTTGAAGGTCAGTTAATTTTGTTAATCTTTAGTATTATTCTTTTAAATTAGATTTACGTTAAAGAATTGTTTTTTTAGATGCGACAAATACGCGTAGCTGTAACAAAGATGAATTAGAGAAACGTATAAATATTTTATTAAAGTATATTGATGGAAATAAAAATTTAGAATTATTTGCGTTGTATGGTATTCAGCAGCTTGTGACAACGTTACATCACCCTATAGGTAAATTTATTTCTAATTTTACTTTGGTAAATCTAATTTTTTTATATTTTTGATTTTTTTTAATTTGTTTTTAGGTCTTGCTATTGATTTATTTCAAGAATTATATAACCGCGATATTATATCAGAGGAGACATTTTTTACATGGGAATCAAGTAAAGAATTCCCAGATGGAAAAGGAAATACAATTAGTTCGGTAAAAGACTTTTTATCTTGGTTACGTAAAGCTGAAGAAGAATCTAACGAAGAATTCTACTCAGGTTTTTAATTAGCCGAAATAATCTTTAATAAAATATTTTAGAAAAATAGCTTATAGCATGCAGGATATCGCAAATTGTTTCTATTTTTTTCATATTTAAAATGGCATTAGTCCCAATTTTACTAGACTTTCTTTTTTCAATATTATCAATCACGAACCTAAACGTAATCTTCTCAAACAAACCTAAATAAATTTTGTTTTTTTAATTAAGTTACTTAGAACTTTTCTCTTGGACTTTTTTTTAAATGTGTTTTTTATGATCTAAATCAGAACTTAAAACATTTTACCATTGCATTAAATAAAAAAAACTGACACTACAATTCAGGAAATGATTCAATTTATACTGCAGATGAAGTTTTGATGGCTGTAAAGAGATTATAAACTTTTACTAAAGAATTTGCTATCGATCTTGTGACAAAACTTTGTAATAAACCAGACAGGTTTATAATCTCGCAAATTTAATATTCTGTTCCGTAATCCGTCGTAAAGTGTCTACTTTATGATGTTGTACGCGATCGAATATTGGCTCTAATATATATTTTGTCTGAATTTACGCGTAAAGTTCGAAAATTCAGACAAGAAATGTTTTAATACACAGGAGGCGGCACAATACATATATATTGTGCCGCCTCCGGTGTATTAAAATATTTCCTCGTTTACTTTTACAAATTTAATAAATGCTTAACTACTGGTTCGACAGTGCAATCAAAATTGGAGAAACATGTGAAAAAAAGATTCTAAACAAGTTGTACGGGACTATATAAACCTTTTCACAATACTGATGCTTATTATCGTAGAAAAAAGATACATAAAGAATAAATGGAAAGATCCATTATGATCTTTTTTAAAAATGTGTAACCCCCTCAAATTGAGGGGGATTTTATTTTTATAATATAATATGGTCATAATTTATGAACGCTGAGAGATATTACTGTGAAACTTAAAATTTATCGATAAATATATGTCTAGTTGAGAATAGTACAATAAATATTATTGTCCTTCACGTTTGGGGTGGGGGATGAAGTTAAAGGGCTTTTTCGTTCCCAGTCTCCGATCATCACAATTTGTTGTAACGCTTCATTATTTGACATAAGTATAAACATACAAATGTTTAGAGTTTACTCCATGTCTGCAAGTAAACTATCTTAAAAAGATTCGTCACCGTATGCATCATTGCATCTTCAATCACGAGTTCAATGTAGAATTTCAAAAACCAAAGAAAGATTCATGTGACACATTCGATGAAGATTGCAACTTTGTTAATGCAAGCAATAAACCAACAGTTTTTTAAATTTAAATATAAAATTCTACTTAAAAAAAATTAGTTTATTATAATTTCAAATTAAAAATTTTTTATCTGTTGAATTTGAGCAAAAGCTATGAAGTCTTGTCCCGTTGACCAGAAATAATTAAACCAAACAACGTAAAAGAAAAATATATTTTCATTTTTTAATTCCCTCCCCAAGCTGTTTACCATAAAATAATATATTATAATAATAATATATTATATATAAAGATTTTTTTTTTTTTTTTTAATAGAAGTTTATATATAAAGATTTTCTTTTTTATATATAGAAGCTAATTAAAAAAGAAATAGATGATTTATATCTAATAAGATGCGATTTTTTCAACAACAATTTTCTCGATATTTTTCTCTTTTTTTTTTTGGTATTTTAAACTTCAAAACAATATATATTTTTAATTCCTTGTAATGATTTGACAATCTAATCTCATTATTGTGTTCTTGAGTTTTATCAACATCAACCGAAATATATTTGACATGCGACTTTTTTACTACTTGTACAAATTGTAAAATTTGAGCCAATATTCTAGATAATGCAATTTTTTTTACAAACCTCCTATTCCGTCAACAACGGATTTGCTACGCATGGGTAAAAAATTATTTTTTCATCTTTTTGTATCGTATTAAAACATTTGTAAAGACTACATTATATTATATATTATTTTTGAAATAAGATTTTGCACTCCAAAATGTAACTTTTTGAACGGTTTCTCGCAGTTGCTCATAATTAAATTCATTTAAGGAATCATGGTTTCTTTTGAATATTTCTGTTGGTATGATGCAATTGCAAGTAACTGCGAATGACATCAATGATATACAGCTGAAATGAAGATTGAAGTTGATGTCTGGCCGTAATATGCACTTTTTGGTTCATTTTAAGTTATGCGTTTAAAGTTCTCAGCAAACTTAACACCTACAACAGTTTCGTTACAATTTGGTTTCATACATTTATCAATTATTCGATAATATATTGTAGCTTGAATTATTTTTATATGCGTGATCCACAGCTAGTTCCTGATCCACAACTGATCACTGATCACATCGTGATCATGAGCTAGTTCTTATACTTAAAATAATAGCTCAATTATTGGTCCAGACCTAGAAACTTTTTCAATTTTAAAATAATTAACATTTTTGATTCAATTTTTACTTATTTTTTAGTAACGTCTTTTTTGGTCTAGTTTTTAGCCATTTTCGCAAAATTACTTTTATTTTGTGACTTTACTAAAGTGCTCCCAGAAGTCTATACAGACTTATCGAGTTACGTGGAAGAGCATTTAACTAGGATGTTCAAGCCTCTTTTCTTACCAATGTCACTAATTGGGCTAGAGCCGGCGTCAAACATCTTTGGTTACCAAAAGTAAGCTTTTTTCACATGTTTCTCCAATTTTAAATGCACTGTCAATCCAGTAGTTAAACATTTATTAAATTTGTAAAAGTAAAATATTCTTTGACTACTAAAATTTAATGTTGAAAGATAGTAGAATTTACAAACTCTATATTGTGTATTTGAAACAAAGTAGCATGATCTACTATATAACACGGCCGTCTATGTTACATTTTAAAGGCTGATTCTAAGAGGCCTACTTATAAAAAAATGATGGCTGCACAACTATAGAGAAAACATATTATTTTATCTCATCCAGACTAAATAAATAGTATAAATATTATATTGCGAGTATAAATATTGTGAATAAAAAAGTATTAACAAAAAACTGGCATTTTGTGCTTTCATATTAGCGATTTATGTATTTATAAACATATATATCTATGTATATTATATATATTTGTATCTATAATAATGCACGTGCGTATCCAATGAGTTACGGCTCCGATTATGTAATTAAAATCTTCGACCATTTTATCAAAGCGTACTTAGTGTTTGAATTGTAAGGATGTATTGTGTTGTGATATTTTTTAGAATTTTATATCAACATAGACATTTTTTTAAAAGTAGAAGAGTTAGACTTCATTTTTGTATAGTTTTTTTTTTTTTGTAGTTACAACTACTTTTATTGAATTAACTTTTCTTAAAAACTTCGTTGTTGATCAGACATCAAATTTATATTGAAGAAATGTTGAGAACATTTTTGAACCTATTAAGAAAAGTTTAAAAACATATTTTCTACGTGCATGCCAAATTTTATTGAAAAAGATTATGTAGCAGACACCTGATTTTTTGTAGCAGAATATGTACCTAAGTTACAATATTGTAAATAAAGCAAAATTCTAAACAAAAAGTTCCATAACAAAACTACCGTTAGCCGAATCTGACATTTTAAAATAGGTCGCAGTTTTATTAAGCAATTGTAATCAAATTTTGTTACTTGAATGAGCATAACCTTTTGTAGAATTGTTATTTGGTTATGAAATTTTCACTATTGTAATGCTGATTTTAGCCTCTTTTTAATGTAAAAAATAAAAAATCAATAATAAAAATAGTTTAAAATTTTTAAACATGTCCCTTTATATATTTGTACATTACACATTTAAATTGACAACACTGGGAATTTACATTTAAAAAAGGTTAAAATTTGTATTTTATTTTTTTATTCATTTTTATGTTATTATTTATGTATGTTTGTTTTTTTCAAGACTATTTTTCTCTGTGTCTATTTTTAAAACTTTTAACAGCATCTTTTCATACAGTGGGATTGATAATATTCTGCTTATTGTTAAAAAAGACATTAATTATAATTTTAGAAGCAATGTTATACCCCCATTCTTTGTGTAAATCGCAAGTAAAGCAAACTGTTGGAAAGTATTTTGATAAAACAAAGCTTGAAACATCTCTGACATTAGCACCTTGTTTAGTTATTAAATTTAAAAGATTATATAAGACTGCAAAACATCCACAGGTGCAATGTTTAAGTGAAAGTGAAGGCACAGTAAGGCCACGTGACCTCGTCACCTTATGAAAGTATTTGTAGATATGGGCAAATATTTATACTGCTTGTATCTGTAGCAATACTTCTTCTGTTTCAGGTGATGTTTTCAGGTGGGTTAATTCTGATATCTCATTTGAGTTTAAATCTAATGTTATTAGTAATTCATCATTAATTGGGTTATCATAATTGTTCTTTGAATCTTCATCCCAAAAATTTACATTCTCCCTAATTAAAGTCCGACATGCTAAAATAATTTCTGAATATTGAACTTCTAGTAAACTTACTAGAAATCTCCCACCACTCCTCTGTCGATATTGAGAAAATCTACAATCTATAGGATCACTTTGAAGTCGTGAAATAAGTACATACAAATATCCTTCTACGATAAGCTCTTCTATAAGCATTGCTTAAGAAAGCAGAGTGGTGATAAGTGCAGATAATGTTTGTTTTGATGAAGTAAAAAATGGAGATTTTTGCCAAAGTTCAATTCAACCAGCTAGTTGCAAAAAAATGTGGTTTTACCATCATCAAAAATAATTGCATTACCAAGTTTATTAGGACTAAATTGTTGTTTAGAATTTGAAACAGTCCACCATTTTTGAAAAATACTTAAAAAAACAGAAATGTCATTTCTTTCTGGAAAATAACTTTTAAAACTTGCAACTGTTGTTTCAACGAAAATCGACAGTGCAAGAGAAACATTTTGCTTTTTATTACCAGGTTGAAGATTTTGATATGTTATTTTTGGAGCTTTCTTCAAATTACCTTGAAGTTGTTCATCTTTAGAATGTAGAAAATGAAAATCTCCCCAAGTAATATAACCAGCTAGACAATTATAGACATCATATTTTATATTATAAATAAATGATAGAAAGGCAAATTTTTTACAGTATAATAAATTATTTCTGATATTTTTAGCAATATGAACACAATCATAAAACAAATATATATTTAAATATTTGGACTATCAGGATGATAAATAAATAAATTTGACTGATTACCGAATTTGGAATGAAGTAAACTAAATGCATTTACATTTGCTTGATGATTATCAGTTACAACTCCTCGAATTTTAAAACCAGACAAAGAAAGAGAATTAATAGAATCTGATTTTTGCTCCGAAAGCCATTTACTGCTAATGGTAACTTCAGCTATGGCTTTTATAACTTAAGGAATTTTTTTAAACTAACAGTCATAAATGC